AGACACGATGAGGTTTCCAGCCCAGCTGGTTATTTTTACACTAACCACACTCAGTGCACGTGATTAACTTCACGCCTGGGCTGATGGCGTGCACGGCCTGAAAGCCGCCAGTTTACCTCTGGAGGTTCAACGTGTTACCTGTGCAAACGGGGCAACAGGCAAAAGCAGAGGGTGTGTTGGTGGTTTTACCCTCCGCTGAGCCCCAGCTGCTGAAGCTAAACCTGCTTCATTTCCTCTCCTGCTCTGCTGCCTCGCTGAGACTTGTTCCCACAGTCCCACAGCTCCTTGGGAACTTCCTCTGGAGCGGGGAGGGCGGCGGGGTCTGAGCGAGGGGGCAGGAAGGACCGGAGCTTTTCTTGGCCCGGCGTCTGAGACCAGCTTCACAGTGTTTTTTCCCAGGATTTCATAACCTGAGCTGGCACTGACAGCCGAGATAACGCTCAGCCGCTACAGCACAAATGTTTCATGTCGACCCTTCAAGACAAATACTGACAGACATCGAATACGAGCGATTATTGGAACGCCAGCAGGAAACGATGTGAGTCCACCAGGTATCCAAGTAACGCCTCGCTCCACCTTTACTGCGCCGGGTTCACAGGAGAACTAGAGCCAGCAGAGACTTTGATTAGGAGCTTTGAAAGGCTGTGAGTGGACGAGCATCACGGCGGTGGTCCGGGCCGCCGCCGTCCCTGTCTGTTTGTTTCAGTTATGTTTTATTGGTTTTCTTATTTATACAACATGTACAACAATACAAGTTAATCACAGTGGGGGGAAAAAACATAAAACAAACAAACAAAAACAAAACAAACGATTTTTATGGTTTTTAATACTTTTTATGTTATTAAATTTGTAATTTTAGGTTTATGTTATGTTTTTCTTATAGCGCTCTCTTTCTGTGTTTCTGTCTCTCAGGGTGAGGACGATGCTCTCCTGATTCTCGCCGTCCTCGTCCACCCCGTCGCCTCCACCATGAACCACACTCCCAGCCCCCACCTGTCCGACAGCGGCAAGCAGGCCGGCGGCGGCCTGCTGTGCAGCTTGGGTCTGGGATCCGACCGGGGCGTCCGCTCCCCCGACAGCCTCACCCACACCCCCAGCCCCACGGAAGGAACGCCCAGCTCCAGCCCACCGCTGCTGCTGTCGCCCGGCCTGGGGGGCCTCGGGTTCGGCTCCCTCGGGGCCATGGGCGAGGCAGCCGGAGCCGACTGGGAGAGCAGGGAGGAGCTGAGGCTCAGGGAGCTGGAGGAGGCTCGGGCCAGGGCCGCCCAGATGGAGAAGACCATGAGGTGGTGGTCGGACTGCACCGCCAACTGGAGGGAGAAGTGGAGCAAGGTGGGGGAAATGTAGCTGAGTGGCACGGAGCAGGGTGGAGGCCGGGCTGGGTGGGGATGAAAGAAAGGCTCAGTTATGGAGCTGCAGACGAGCAGCTGTTTGTGAGCAGAAATGATATTTCTATGATATCGATCCACTGTGAGCCTGTACGGAGAAATATTATTATTATTAATAATATTATTATTAATTTTATTATTAATAATGTTATTAATTTTATTATTAATATTTAATATTTTTAATTTAAATATTAAATATTATAATATTTAGTATTAATATTATTATTATTATTAACATTAATAATATTAAATATTATAATATATTTAATATTAATAATAATAATAATGTTAATAATATTAATAATAATGTAATACAGACGCTGAGGTGTTTTTGATGATTTCCTATAAAGAGCTTTGACATCCCGCCTGCTCAGTCGTCGTCTTTGTTTCCAGGTTCGTGCGGAGCGTAACCGAGCGCGCGACGAGGTCCGTCAGCTCAGGCAGCGGCTGGACACCCTCACCAAGGAGCTGACCGGCATCCGGCGCGAGCGGCAGGAGCTCGCCTCGGAGAACGAGACGCTACGGCAGGAGACGCTGCGCCTCCACGGCGACCACGCGGCCCCGCCTCCG